TCAGTACTGGCCTCATCTCACTTCCACACAATCATAGCAATGCAAAACTAAATGGGGAAAACAAAGCAAATAAAAAAAGAGGTCCCATCTAGTCCAGCCCATTGCTCAAGGTGGGATTCGCCATGTCTCAACCATCCATCTGTTGTCTGTCAAACCTGCTTTTAAGAAACTTCCAGGATGAAGATTCCCCATCCTCTCTAGATAGTCCATGTCTATGCTGAACCACCCTCAGAGCCAGACTGTTCTCCCTGGTCTGCAGCCTGTTTCCTTTGCTGCAGTTGAAGACCTTGACTCCTTGTCTTGCCCCCATGGCCACAAAGAATTGTCTACCACTGTTTATCTTAAACCTGCTCTTCAGATATTTGAAGCCTCATTAAATCCCCTCCGCCTTGTCTTCTGAGTAAATCCTTCTAGTACCCCCAGCTATTTCTCCAATGATACTGTGACCGGCCCCGAGGAGGCGCCCTATCTCCGTGGCCCTTCAGGAGACGCCAGGCTCTGGGGAACTGCCCAAGGCCTCACACAGCCAGGGCCAGGCCTGCTTGCACCGCCCCCAGGCAGGCTGGATGCAAGGGGGTAGAGAGCCATCAGAAGATCCAGGGTTGTCACCTGGATCCAGACAGAGGAGTCTGCCCTGCTATCCAACCCATGCTCACACAGGAAACAAGGTCCAGCTGGGGACACTGAGTCAGGCAAAGCCAGGTCCTCCCAGACCCTTCTGGTCCATTGCAGGGGATGTCAGGGAGTGGGGGTGGGGGGGGCTACTTGGTGGTACCTACAACCCCCCTCCCTGAGAACTCACTGTCTCCTGTTCTGACATGACCAAGCCCATGGGCCATATCTCCATGCCACACAGCAGCAGGGCCAGTCCTGAGCATGCCTGTTGAGACCAACCCAGGGACTGCTGGGAGGAGCTGCAAGAGACCCCAGCAGAACAACCAACACTTACTGGGAGTGGGTCCGACAAGCTCCAGGGAAAGGGCTCGAGTGGGTGGGCGAGACTGACTGGAGTGGCTTCACGTGGCGCACATACTACAGCCTGACACTCCAGAGCTGAGCGACCCTGTCTGCAGACAAATCCCAGAACCAGTTCTCCCTGAAGCTGCAGTCCCTGACAGCTGCAGACACCGCCACGTATTACTGTGCCAGGAGACAGTGACACAGAACAGGGCAGGGGCTGCACAAAAGGGGGAAGGAAGTTCAGGCTGAACAGCTCAGAGAGCGCATTCACTACCAGCCCCTGAACAAATGCACAGGAGTAAAAACACGGATGAGCCAGCGGGTGAATGGAAGCAAAGCAAAGAGGGTGGGCTGTTATAGGAGGTAAGAACACCTGTTCCATCTTCTGCCACAGATCTCCCATATCAGCTCAGCCAAATTATCCTTTCCCTTCTAATAGGAAAAAAAACCCAAAACAATCATGTTTCCAGCCTACTGGATGTCTGTGTCCAAGAGATAGCCCCCTCACACTGAGTCTGGCATCAGGCAGATCCACAGAGCTTCGGGTGACCCTATGGGGAGAGGAATCTTCCTAATGGCAGATGTGTGGTTGTTTGAAGGACAGATGGAAGATACTAGGTTGGCCCTTCACAGACCAGGACAGCCTCACCATGACTAGAGGCAATCAGTACTGGCCTCATCTCACTTCCACACAAATATAGCAATGCAAAACTAAATGGGGAAAAAACAACACAAAAAAAGAGGTCCCATCTAGTCCAGCCCATTGCTCAAGGTGGGATTCGCCATGTCTCAACCATCCATCAGTTGTCTGTTAAACCTGCTTTTAAGAAACTTCCAGGAAGCCCACAGTGATCAGAAGCCTGCTATGCCCAATACAGAAACTTCTGAGCAAATCTCTTGTCAGCTCATGGCCAGCAGCGAGAAGCAGCCAGGGCCTGAACAAACAGCTGAAGCGGAGCTGGACACCCACCACAGGCACATTTCTCCCTCTGTGCTACAGCCCCTGCCATGGGCACCAAAAATAATGCACAGTGGGAAACACAGAGCACCCGGTCCCTGCCCAGCTGGGCAGCAGGGACCTGGCCAGAGCACCCACCCAGCTCCTTGCAGCACCCGGCTCAGATGCAGCCAGCCGGGAGACACCAGCTCTGGGGAACTGCCCCAGCGCCTCACACAGCCAGGGCCAGGCCTGCTAGCACCGTCCCCAGGCAGGCTGGATGGGACTTCTCCAGCACTCACACCCTGGGAAACACCCCCAAGCTGTGGCCCAGGGAGGGGCAGTGCTGGGCTGCAGCCTTTGGCTGGTGGGTGCTTGTAGTCAGACCAGGACAGTCCCACATCCCAACAGCTGGGGCCAAGTGTGATGGGGGAGGACAGGATGCTAGAGAAGACACTGGCCGTGCCTGAAGTGGGTGCTCTAGGGAGTCTCAGTGACTCTATCCTGCAAAACCTACCCTGCAGGCCTGGGCACCGGGCTCCCAGTTCCCTCAGCCACCTCAGCCTCAGCCGCTCAGCCAATAATACAGCTTCTCCATGACCCATACCCTGCAGGTAGAAGGGAAAGGTCCTGGGGAAGCCTGAACTACTCCAGTAGGCCAACAGACACCCAGGCACTGGGGCTTTATGCAGCTGTGTAGGACTAGACTTCAAGGGGTTAACCACCCTGGGCCACTCAGGTTTTCGACAGGAGGCAAAATACTTAGGCACCCAGGGTTTGGTGCCCCCCTCCAGCTCAGCATCTGTGCATGGCAGGATATATTCCTGATGGACCTCGCCCTTCTATCCCTGAGACCAGATGAGTGCACATCCACATCCTGTGATGCAAATGGACACACTGGATCCATGCATGCAGTATCTCCCGCACGCACAGGCACCAGAGGGCAGAGACACCCAGCACACGTGCATGGGCAGAGATAAGCACAAAGCTATGAAGGACCACCTGCCCTCTTAGGAAAGGGAGTATGTTTATGCTCTGTTTTTTTCCTCGTTTCCCTCATTTCCCGTGTTCTAACAATAGCCAGTTTCCCAGACATGAAGCAAATTCACAGCATTTAACCTTCACACCCTGGGATTCCTTCCACCTGGAATAAAAAAACATCCAGTTTCATTAGGTTTCTGTATTCTGGTGGTATCACTCCCTCAGCTCCTATGAAACAAGTTGTCACTTCTACCCAAGGTCAGGGACCCTCTGAATAAAGTAATGCATCCCCAAGCTGCCAGGGCTCAGTCCACTCATTGTACATTGGAGTAGCATGGATCTATCCTTCACTGAGAAACTGGATTTTTCCCTCGGAGATTTCTCCCTGGCAGGACACGGGGATATTTCCTTGGCAGAGAGGGGAAGTCCCAGACCATGGGAGGTTTTGACTTGATAATATCCAGCCAGAGAAACAATCTGGAACTCCTCTAGATCTTTAATTGCTCCCCAGGCTCCTGGTTTAATGTACGATTTGTCTGATACAGTAACAAAACCCGACTCCCCATTTCCAGGTTTCCCTATGGCTCTCAAAACCCCTGTAGTCAACAGCCAAATCTGCCTTGTATGTGATCTGTGATCTGTGAAAGGCCCTTATACAAGAAGCACATGCAAATGTTGTTCCCCAATTTCCTGCTTAACACATGCAAGGGTCCTCCTTAAACACCAGCCCTGGCTCTGTGCACCTCAGTGTCTCCCCAGAGCTGCCGCCTCCTGTCTGCTGGGGACACCGGGCATCAGCCACAATGACCATGACACCAGCACTGGCTTTGCTCATCCTTCTGGCAGCTCCCCTGGGTAAGTGCCTCCTGTCTTATGGGACAGAGGGATGCAGCGGCAGGATGAGAGTGAGACTGGTAGAAGATTGTTCATTTGCTAATGATGTATTTTTCTCCATTAGGTATCCTGGCCCAGGTCACGCTGAAGGAGTCTGGCCCAGGGGTCATGAAGCCCGGAGAGACCCTCAGCCTGACCTGCACCGTGTCTGGATTCTCTCTCACTAGCTATGGTGTGAACTGGGTTCGGCAGGCAGCAGGGAAAGGGCTGCAGTGGGTGGGAGTTATCTGGGCTAGTGGAAGCAGCTACTATAACAGCGCTCTCCAAAGCCGCCTCACCATCACCAGAGACACGTCCAGCAGCCAAGGGCACCTGCACCTGACCGGGGTCCAACCTGTAGACACAGCCCGGTATTACTGTGCTGGAGACACAGTGAATGAAAATGCATGCGAGCCTGCACAAAAACCAGCCCTGCAGGACCGGCCTGCCTGCGTGAGCAGCAGAGGCAGCAGGTGCCAG